AGAAATTCAACTGTTACTCAAAGATACGTTTTAGGTGAAGTCTGTCTTACGACTTTAATCAATAAAAGATTACAATGAGATAAATCAGCTTTGGTTGTCCCTTTTATATTATATTTCACTATATTATAAAGCGGATATAATTTTCTAGATAGTCAAAAATCAAAAAGAGTTTAGCCCCTCATGTCCTTGACAAATGTACAGTTGTCGCCCTGTATTATGTATATAATAAGCTGAATATATTCTAAATACATTTCTGCATTGAAAATTATTGCCATTTTATATTCTAATGGCCACTCCACATGATGAAAAGAAATTTTGATTGTAATTTTCCAATTTTCAGTCTCAAGAGCCATGCTTTGAATTCTATACTTAAATCAATTCCATTCAGTCTGTAAATTGACTAATTACATCCACTTATCCGAATGAAATAAGTCAACAATTAACACCAACTCATTCCAATTAATTAACGGAAGACAATTAATAATCTACTCCGCTAAAATAACAACAACACACAAATCTGTATAGAGATAAGGGTACATATATGAGACTTTTAATACGTATGGAAGAATATGAGAAAATATATTAGACAATAGACATTTTAAGACCATCCCTTTTTATTTATAATCTAAGAATATCTTATACTGTATATTTTTATATATTAAATGTACATTATTTTTGTACTGAAAGCTTATTATTTGTCAATATACAAATAATGTGCATTGTTTTTAAGAAAAAAAAAATGGTAATTGGGCATTTTAAATAAAGTTTTACTACGTGTACTCCCAAATCTTACTCTCTAAATTATCTTACTCGATCTCTAAATTTTACTCCATAATACGACGGACACTGATAAGCTACTTTTTTTTGTGGGTCCCAATACAAATGTCTACGTCAAACTCTTGTGTGTGAAAATAAAAATTGAAACTATATACACTTGTTGCAAAAATCAGTCTAGGCGTCCCTAGACCGTAGCGATTTTCCCCTAGGCGCTCGCCTAGGCAACCGATTGCATAGCGCCTAACTCAGCTGACTTGGCTGCCTAGGCAGCCGCTAACGTCTAACTCGGCCGAGTTTACTCGTCCATTTCGATCGAATTAGCCGAGTTAACCTGATAACTCGGCCTTGCTAATTTTTCTATATATATATATATATATATATATACACATTCACACGTACATTGCTTTCTTTTCTTTAAGTTAGCCGCTTAGGCGCCGCCTAAGCTGTCTAGGCGCTAGTCGGCCGACTAGCGCCTAGCGCCTACTGCAACCATGACTATATATATATAGTATTTTTCTTTAAAAAAATGTAGAGGCAGGGACAAGAAGTGGGAAAACCGGAGAACGGCGGTACGTGGCGGCGTAAGACGGTAAGAAGGGAGGATCGGACGGAGCGGAGCGGTTTCAATGGTTTCGGCTTTAGGAATTAGGATGAGGTAGCCTATCCTATTACTACTACTATTTCGCCACTTTTAGACTGTACACGTGGAGCCTTCTTAACTCTCCTCTCCTGGGGACCATTTTTGATGGCTTCTCTAAAACGCACGCGCCTACAATTTGCACCGCCGCCAAAGCCACCACGTTTCCGCCTTTCCTCTCTCTCTCTCTCTACACTATTTCAATCACGTTTTCTCTTCCCTTCGTATTTTTCTTCTTTTTTTTTAGAAAAAAATTCCTTTGTATTGGACACGCTTTCATTTCCTAATATTATAATAATTTATTATCAAGTTCCTTTTTTTTTTTTTTTTTTTTTTGGGTTTGCGAACTAATTCCAGTCTGGTTAAGTTAATACTTGTATGAAAATGACAAATTTTGTTTTGAAAATTCAACTTGAAATTGGATTATTAATTATTCTCGTCGTGGCTCTTTCCTTTGTTTGGAGGCCTATTAGCTTTACAATTAAGTCGACATTTCAATGTTGTTATTCAAATTTGTAATTGATTGTAAGGTTATCTATAATCATAAAAATATAAAATACACTTTCACTATCAATGAAGTGTGAATGAAATTGGTTTCAAATTCACGATGGGTACTCTGCCACCATTTGAGGTAAAACCAAAAAAAAAAAAAAAAAAATTACATTTTTACTTTTAAAACTTAAAAGTGAATCATTATATAATCTCAATTGTAATTTACTAGTATTTTTTCTACATTTATGTAATTCTAACTCACATTTGACCTTGTCTGTTTAACCATTGAGTAACCGTGATTTACATTCTCCCAGAAGAAGAATAAAAACCGTTCTTTCCTTTCCTCTTTATTGAAGAGGAATATAGAAAACATGTGCAATACATATATTTATTATTTACTTTAACGCAATTTATATTTATATATAATAACATCACATTTGCATATATTATATATTTATGTGGCATGTTTATATCAATATATATTAATTTATGTCACGTAAACAGACATGTAAGTAATTTTAATAGATATAGTTAACGGTGTTAAATTTAGTTATGAATTATCTTTATCAATTCTATACGTATAAGAATCAAATGAAATAAAGTCACATAGTAAATAAATCTGTTTATTCAAAGATGCACGTATACACGTCGTGCAATCATTTATTTATTGGAAACGTACTATTACACTAATTAATATGGAGTAAAAAAGTAAAAGAAAGAAGCTAAGACTTTTAAATTATGCCATAATTTTAATCCAACTAAAATATTGGTGTATCAAGTATCAACACGTACAATAATAATCTACGTGGAAGTATACTTTATATAATTAAGAAATATTCTACAACGCAATTCATTAAAAAACATATTGCCATTTTTATTTATTTTTTTTTTGGTTTGGTTGGGTTTGAGAGTTTAGCCGAGAAAGCCATGCCAAGACTTATTATATCTTTATTCTTTTCAAAAGGTTGAACCCCAACCCTAAGGATCCCCTACCGACACCCCGGTCCGACAGAGCATCTGAGATGATGTAAATCATGGTAACTCAACTGAACATGAACCACAAAGGTTAGACATTTGCTTACTGCTCACAAAGAGCTCCCGACCTCCTTGGTCATTCTTTCCAACTTTCACCTTTATGACCAGCTGAGCTGCCCATGTGGACCTTATTATATCCGTATTGGTGTATACTGAGAAAATGTACATACATGTGCATATATATGCACATATACATATGTGTGTATCTACGTATCTATGTGTGTGTACGTATATATACTATTGGAATATTCGAGTAATGTGTGAACACATGTGAATGCATTCAAATGTATGTACACCACGGAACATAATATTATACACCATCTTTTTCAAAAAAAAAATATTATACACCATCTCCAATGCACTTATAATAGTTTATTTGCACACATAACACATACCTACGACATAAAGACAAAACAAAAGGTGGCTAGCAGGAAAGAAATCAAAAGTTGGTTCTTGTTTTTTAAGTTTTGTTGAGAAGAGCAAAGAAGGAAAAGATTAAAAGAGTTGGCTATAAATGGGTATGATGCATGATATTTTTTTCTTTGCATCATTAACTAAGTATTTATCTATTTTTGCATATCACCTAGTGTTATTTATATCATACTATATATCAAATGAATTTAGAAATGAAAAAAAAAAACTAAAAGAAAATAGCATAAGAAGTGGCGGACAACTATCCTCCAACTCTAACGTGTCTACTCGGCGCAAGCATGCAATAAGAACAACAAAGACATCATCTTCAACTTTATTTTTTACTTTTTAAAAAGCCTACCAATATATTGCTCAATTGTATAGTTTGGATATTGGTAGTTTTTTTATTTTGGAGTGTCGGAGGAAGAAGAACTAAGGTGAAGTCAATTTTTTTTTTTAATTGGATCGAGATACTCTCATATTTTGTCTCACATTGAGTCTATATTCATGTTATTATATAATGACCTTATCAAAATTGTTAACATTATAACTATAAACAAATTAAAACCCATCAAATTTATTTTATAACAATTCGTCAATTCATGATGATTTAAGTTTCTTGTAAAAAATCTTTTGATGACAAGTTTAATGAAAAGATTGGCAACATGGGTATGAAAGATTCATGATACAACATACAAAACATCCAAGATTAAATTCCCAATCTCCTATTATTATCCCTTATCTTCAACTCACCATAATAATCACTTCCATTCCTCTAACTTCAGCTACAACAGTGTGAAGATTATATCAAAAATTGATAGATCCCTGGTGTACATCGACATCAACATTAAATTACCATAATTTAAATCATCCTAAATGTTCTATCGGGAATGTGGTGACCATTGAATAGAAAATTCAACCTTTTAGAAACAACAAAGAATAAAATAAAAATTACTAGGAATAAAGATTATGTCGAGTTTAGTGGGTTCAAGGACACTCTGTTCGTACGACGGCAAGCAAATTAATAATGCCATGTCTTGCGGGGGATTATCTCATTAGTGACATTTGAAGCCACTCAGGTGGCATTCACACGGTATCATAACACATATATCAAAGTAATTTTTTTTTTTTTTAAAACAACAATTATTTAAATTAATTAAATAATAATATGATTTAATAAAAATAATAAATGTATAGATTAGAATATGCCACGTCCTTAAATCATTGCTTGGGTTAACTTTTCTCCCCTTAATCTAGAAAGAACAATGAAAAGCTCTTTAATTTTAATCTGATTCAGGCCCCATAGCCTATGTTTCGGAAATTCCATGACATGGAATAACATTAGAATAACAAGTAACAATGACATTTTTCATGAGTCGTTTAGATAGTGGAACCAATTATTCATTCCTCCAACTATATATATTTTATTTATTATTCTTATTGTCATTTTTTAACTAAATATCATGCTTTCCCTCTATTCCTTCATTAATTCTTCTTTATTTTGTTTATAATATAAACAAATTAAAGAATCATTCCCCAGCCAATAACATTGTGGTCCAGTGATACGAAGTGGGGCGTTAATTTCAGAGAAAAATAAATATAAAATTTGATTTCTAAGAGTAAAAAAAAAAAAAAATACAACCTGAAGAAAATTAAAATTACAATTAAAAATCCACAATAAATAAATTAGACCTGTGTCTCTCCACAAATTCTACACCGGCCATGTGTTCTAATTGACCATACTGGTTTTTTTTTTTTTTTTTGGTTGTGTGTGTATCGTCTGATCTCCGACCTCATTAAACTTTTTTTTTTCTACATTTCATCATCGTAATCTGTATTTTTGTTGTCTCTCGATCACATCGAACTATGCTTTCAAGGGTGGCTATTGTTGTTGAATTGCTGTTGGAAGAACCACATGTCTTCGATGTTCCATAGGTTGTCGGAGACGACATCGGCGCCGCCGTCTATCCACTGGTGGTTATTGTTGTTGTTGTTGTTCTCCATCATTTGGAAGTCGAGGTTCTGGTTAAAGAAAGCGGTGGGGCTTGTTAAGGAATCTCCGTAGCCGCCGATCAAGTGGTTATTGTTGGGTTGATAGTAGTCGTGGGTGGCGCTCTGGTTGACTTGGTGGAAGTTGTAGCAGCAGTCGGTGAGGTCGGAGACGGGGGAGACTTGCGTGGCGAAGGAGTCGGAAGAGGCGGCGGTGCTGGAGTTGTCGGAGGGGAAGTTGACGGCGGCGTTGTAGTCGGGGATCGCGGGGGCAGCGTTGTTGGGGTGTTGCACCCCTGCCGCCGCCTGGTCCGACGTGGCGGAGGGGTTGTGGATGTGGGGGTAGGCGGCGGCGGAGTCGGAGTTTGTGGAGGTGGTGGTGGAGGAGGCGGCGTTGGCGGCGGCCTGAATCCTCTCCATTAGGCGCGGCATCCATAGATAGCGCATGGTGTCCTTGAATTGCTTGCTGTTCACGTCACATTTCAGCTGCTTAGCGTGTTTTTGCACTCTAGTCCTCCAGTAATTCTTAATCTCATTGTCGGTCCTCCCCGGCAAATGTTGTGCGATTTTCGACCACCTAATTTCCAAAACCACCATTCATTAATATTTCATTAATCAAATCAAATCAAATCAAAACGGTATGTAACATTATTATCGGAATTAAAAACTCACCGATTGCCCCAACGAGAATGCAGTTCGAGAATCATGAGCTGCTCCTCTAGAGTGATGTTCCCACGCCGGACGTCCGGCCGGAGATAGTTTAGCCACCGTAATCTGCAACTTTTTCCTGTACGCTTCAGACCTGTTTCAAGGATCAAGCCGGTTAGCCAAAATATATATATACCAGAAAGAAATTAAAGCAAGCTGGGCTTTGGTAAAGTTTGAGATTAAAAGCTAAAAATTAGTGGGAAATTGAAATAAAAAGGACCAATTTCACTTTTCCACTTTCTTTTCTTTTTTTGGGATGAAATCCTGGCATTTCAATTTCCCCATAGCTTTATTGGATAAGTTCCATTTCACCAAAAAGATATATATCTCATATATATCCACGTACGGAAAGGAACACAAAACCATATCACATGAACCAAATACCATTGGTTCCTCCAGAATTATTATTATTCAACTTTATTCTAAACAAATTTAAAAAAAAAAAAAAATCAAATTCAAATAAGTTAATAAAGGCGCACGCGCGCACGCACCGGCACAGCGCGCGAGTGAGTTCCAGCGGCCCTCGCCGTGGTGGGCGATATAATTGATGAGAGTGAAGTCTTCCTCGACGGTCCAGGGACCTCGCCGGAGGTCGGCGTCGTCCTCCGATTGTTGCTGGACGACGTTCTTGTACGCGCCGCCGCCACCGCCCTTAACGTGATCCATGGAATTGCAAAGTACAATATATAAAGTTGACAGGGAATGGATCGGAGGGAGGATATGAAAAGGCGTAGTGTTGATTGATGGATTGTTATGTTTGATCGGAGAGAGATATAGAGAGAGAGAGAGAGAAATATATGAGAGTTTTAGAGAGAGAGAGAGAGAAGATTGAAAGATGAGAGAGCACGAGAGGATAGAGAAGGTGGTGGGGCTTTATATAGAGAGAAGAACTGTGAAAAAGGTGGCACAAAGCCGCAAACAGGGAAGTGTATTATAAGACTTAAACTCGTTTTTGTGTGGTAATTTCGATTATTAATATTGTTAAGTGTCGATGATTAGTTTAGTTGTGGCGTTTTAGGATGACTTTGAAGTTTTGACACTTTGACTCGCCATCCATCCCATCTCCGTTCCGTGGAAACGGATTTTCTTTTTCTTTTTCTTTTTCTTTTTTATAATTTCCATTTTTATTTTAAAAACCTCGCAATATACAACTTGTCACTGAACTTTTGACTTTCCACTTTTATAGCTTAGCTTGCACAAGTTAACACAATAACACGTACATTTTTCTTTTTTACTTTTTCTCCCTTTTTTTTTTTTTTTTTTTTTTGAAAACCAATGAAATGATTATATTAAAATAACTCAGCAATACAATCTGTAAGGGTTAGAAGCCACTTTTCAAAGAATAAGTGGTTTGTAGCCTACTAGTATCCAGTTGCTTCTTTATATGAGAGGTCTAGAGTTCGAGCCTTGGTGTAGGTATAGATTGTCTACTATTGTAAAGTGCTCAAACCTCACCACGAACTAAATTGTCAAATAGGCGTTCAATTAACTTTTTTTACAGGTTACCTATTTATTAAATGGGCCTATTTGACACTTAATTTAGTTCGTGGTGGGGATTGAGCACTTCGCAGTGGTAGATGGACCTATTTGACACTTGTGCCAAAAAAAAAAAAAAAAAGACCTTTTGACATGATGAACCAAAGCGTTCCCAATGTCACTAGCCATCATAATAACAAAACCAACGTAAGAGTAGTCATGTCTAGTAGAATTGAAACTATTACAAAAGTTCAAACAATTTGACTCTATAATATAGTCAGTAGCAGAGCGATCATCCACGCCAAAGCTTTCGCCAGATACGGGTCATTACTACAAGGCAACCTACCACTGCGAGCCGCCATAAAGATCCTACAGTGATCCTGGAGGACAACACCATAAGTCGCTAAATTTCCATGTAGAGTTGCATTCACGCTGTATAATTAAATTACTTTGTGTCAAACTATCTAAGATTATAATGCACAATCGAATTGAAGTTCAACAACTCAATGATAAAGATCAATCATAAATAAGTCAATTACTTAACATTACTCAAAAAATCAAACAGAATGAATAATCTACGTTCATATTATGTAGGTTGAAATTGAGAGTTGAGACCACCACTATTGAAAACAACAGTTGGGGCAACACCTAAAAGGCAAGGTGTGACTATTGATGTTAGCGTAAAAAAATGAGAACAAATTAAATTTGTGCATCACGTTCAATAATCAATGGTGTGAGATCAAGATGTATTAAAAGATGTGGGAGCATATCTATAATAATTTTGATATATTTTGGTCTTGACTTATTTGATATTGTCAAATTTAGTTCTCTATTTTATAATATATTCCCGTGGGATTAACTCTTATCTATGGCAAATTTATAAATTTCAAATGCAATATCTTGTATCAAGAGCAATTATATTGTTAACCTCATTCAAATTTTAAGCATTAATCATGAATGACTAAATTATATGATGGCATGACTACAATTTTTCCATAGAATTAACAATAGTGTGACGAATTATATGATGAATGACTAAATTCATAAGATTATGAAAGTTAAACGTAATTACTTTTGAACAAATCTTTTAAAAATTTACAAAAATTGAAAGGACTAAATTTAGTATTAACTTATCAAGTTGGGAATATACCCTTTCGGGAGCATATGCACGGTTTCATAACATTTCTCAAGCCACCTGTGATGGTGAATTGGTGATGAACTGTCGTTGAGTATTTATTTGCCTCAGTAGAGCTTCTTGAATAATAATAAGTTTTTCTCAAAGTATCAACTTACTAAATTTTTTTTAAGTGGATCAAATTGTGTAATTGAATCATCTACTAACAAAAAAAACGTTATTAAGATTTCTTAAATTAATAGAAAAGTACATTTGAACGCTAATTTTACTTATTCAACAAGTTATCGCTGATTTGGTGTTATCTTGGTATTCATATGTACTATTATTCTAATGGGATGATTATTTGGCATCCAGCATAATAGTGACTTGATATAATTTAAAAATATTAGTGTCAAAATAAAAAATAAAAAGTAAAAAAAAAAATTTAAAAGTGTAAAAAAAAAAAAAAAAAAAAATGAATGGATGCAGATTGCTAGTTCCCGCCTGGCACGTGAGGGGTGGCTTGGGCACCCCTCGTCCAATCTAAGACGATGCAACCCCTTGTTTGTTGTGTAGGGACTAGTAATATTTTTTAAAAAAAAATTGAATTTTTTTTATACAAATTCTTACTAATAGTTTTTAAAATTGAGTTAATACCCAAAATCGTCATCGACTATAGTGGTTTTTCTCAATTTCGTCCTAAACGACTTTGGTGACCTAATATCGTCCCAGACTTTTATGTTTCGCTCAATTTCGTCCAATACTTTTGTGTTTTTGCTCAATTTAGTCCCTCATTTGTTATTCTATCCATTTGGTGTTAAATAAATAGACAATTAAGTAATTTTAATATTGGCATCTCTTTACTCATAGACATGTGAACTGCGAAATCCCTTTTTGTTTACGAATTAGTACCAGAATTACTCCTAAAACTGCAAATATAAAATTTGATTTGCAGGTCCGGGAGTAATTCTGGGTGTAATTCGTACAAGAAAGAGGAATTTCGCACTTCACAAGTTGAAAGTAAAGAGAGATCAATATTGACATTACTGAATTGTCCCTAAATTTAACACCAATTTGACGGAATAACAAATGGAGGACTAAATTGAGCGAAACACAAAAGTCTGGGACGATACTAGGTCACCAAAGTCGTTTAGGACGAAATTGAGAAAAACCACTATAGTCGAGGACGATTTTGGGTATTAACTCTTTTAAAATTATATCAAGTGACCGTCAAGTTAGATGTCAAGTAATCACCACATCAAAATATAGCACACATAAAAGGTAAGCCGATATGATGGCATATCTATATTAATTTGCATAATAAGTAAAATTATGACTTAATTTACACTATTTTACCGATTTAAAATATCTCAATTGAGTGTTTTTTTAAAAAAAAAAGTTAAGGGCTGAATTGTACTATTTGATATACTTTTGTGACTTATTTGACCCTTTTACTAATGAGATGTTATTTTACACTTAAAAATAGCTTTATAATGTTTAATCAATCATAGAGAATATAATATTTAAGAATATATAGTATCTCAAAAAGTCTAAGCTGGTAATTGAATTGTACATTTATATTTATATATTATATATGTATGTTCAACACGTCCCCTCATGTGTGCGGGGTTACTTTTTTATGGGCTCAAAGCAACACGTTGACTATAGTCTTACTCTTTTTTTTTTTTAATCGGGTCACGCGAAGATCCAAATTCATAACATTTGACATGGGGTCGACTCGAATACCAAATTAAAGCATATATTTCATTTCGACTAAAAGTCTTGAACGGGTAGTTAGATTACCCATTTATGTTTATATATTATATATGTTCAATAGATAGACTCAACCAAATGAACACTAGAACACATTAATAAATTTGTCAAACTAAAGCAACTCGTTCACTAAATTAAAAATGGTCCGTAATACTTTTGATCTAAGCCTCTACCTACAACCGTAAAATTGGAAAATGATACATACACGTACACACATGGCAATTTTGATATTTTTAATGAACTTAATGAGAGGCTTCTCTAATTATTTTAGCTTATAACCACTCTCATATAGTTTAATTAGCATTCAAACTCCTTTATTAAATAACTTCATGTTAACTTCACATCATATAATCTCGAAACGCAACTTCGAATAATGACTGGGAGGATTTTTGTATGAAACGTTCACATAATATATTGTATATGAGTATTGATGTCGAAGTTAAACTTTTAAACTTATAGTTAGTTGTATTCCTCCAAGAGAAATTATATATAACTAGTTGAAATGACAATAATTCTCATACGATTAATTCTCAAATAATTATAATGAGTTCTTGCTTGTAATTATTACTGAGTAAAAAGTTATAATAACCGTGTTGATTTTTTTAGTTTAAAATATTACTTTCTTTGTCCCATTTTGCTATTTTTATTTAATATATTTGTCTCAAGTGATGTTCGAACCTATCACCTCTCACTTAAGGGAGCAATTCGATACCGGTAGACCACAAGCCACTTGGTCAAACTAACTCTTTTATTCATTGCTTATTTTATTTAGTAATTTTAATTATTTTTAGAATTTTGTTTTTTGTGTTTAATAGTACTTTTAATGTTATTTCTAAATATATAAATTTAATATACTAAAACTAAATTTAATATTATGAAATAACTCCAATCAAGCCCGTTAATTGAACCAGACAAATAAAATGTGACAAAAGGAGTATAATTAAAGAACTCACTCTTTTTAAAAATAAATACAACATATTTAATTGTATTAGATACTATTGATCTCGGTGTTGAAACTCTTACCATATGACAAAGATCATAAAAGGGTTTGCACTAGCTTTTTCATAGTATAAGAATTTTTACATTATTGTTTATACTAATCAATTCGAGCATAATATAAAATTTTAATGGAACCTCTTTTTAATGATATTAAATACAGAAACCAGAGAAAATTTGGAAGGCGCTACTTTTTCATCCCGGCTCGAGGGCTAACTTTATGTTTTCTACACTAACGCCATTTATTTTAACTAAAATATTCGGTACATTGAAAAAATGTTAACATATTTAAATGCATATTAAGTTTTTTTTTTTATAGTACTATTAACTCTATTACAATATAATATCTATAAATAACTACATTCTCAAGTGTGTTGGAACATTGAGTTGAATAATGGCATTTTCTGTGGTGATGGCCATGACGGAAGGGGAAGAAAATCTCGTTGGAGTATTTAGGCTCTTAATACCATGTAAAGTATAAATAAATGAAATGATTATTATTGAGCT